AGCAGCTACATGGTACACTAACCTGTAGACATATAGATACAATATAAATTGTCATGTGGGGAATGAGAATAAATAAAAATTCAAACGGAATAGAAATGCCACAGCTAGTAAACACTAATTTGGTTTAGTTAACATGCATAAGGGTTTACCAGCAAAACAGTGGTGCAGAACCCACATTGAACATAGCAAATTTGTTCTTGCTGAAGGTCAAAGAGATGGCTTAATGTTGACATTTCCTAGATAGAGAAGATGGAGAGATAGAGATGTGAACTTGAAGGATGGATGGTGTACTTGAATAAACGCTAATATATATATATATATATATATATATATATATATATATATATATATATATATATATATATATATATATATATATATATATTATATATATATATATATATATTAGTTTATAACCCGTGAGAACGAAAAATCATCATAAATGGTCCCTATGGTTTCCCAAAATCTGAAGTTTAGTACCCGTGGTTTAGAAACGTCATAGATGGTCCCTGTGCTTTCAAAACTTTTGACGATTGGTCCTTATTGCTAACTCCGTTAAGTTTTGTCCGTTAACTGAAGGACATTTTCGTCATTTCACACCACAGGGACCATTTACGATGTTTTCAGTTATTTTTTTTAAAAAGAAAAAACTAAATATAATTATTTGAATATATTCGATAACCCTCTTCTTATCTCTTCTCCATGCTCTATAGTTTCTCCAAACTCTGAAAATTTTAATTTCTTTTTCTAGTTTCTCTTTCCATGGAATCAGCTGCACAGTAAAATGTGGCTTTGTAACCTTATACATGGAGGAAGGGCATACAGAAAAGAAACTAACGATTGGGGTTCAATACACACATTGGAAAATTGAAAAACACACACTCATACACAGTGAAAAACACGAAAGGGGTGTGTAAACCCATTTAAGCTGAAACATCAGGAGATGTCTGTGAAGCAACTTCATGTGTACTTTCCCAATCTGGACTGTCGACCCTGGTTACAAACCCATTAATATCAAATATGTATAGGATTTTGATTTGATTAACAAAAAATCAGATGCGAGACTTGTATGAGAAAAAGAAAAAGAGTGCAACCCCTTTTTGCCCTTGTTCCTAATTTCTCATCGGCGATTAAAGAAAAAATGGGGTGGCTTTGTGAAAATTTGAGCAGAGAAAGAAAAAGGGGTTCGATTTCCCTGTTTCTGTGATGTGCGAGACACATACACATAGAAATTTTGAGCAGAGAAGAAATCCTAGATCATAAAAATCCCTAAACCACACTGTTTATCGGAGAGAACAAAATCATATGATATCCAGTTCATTTTTTCTTCAATGAGGGTGATAGAGATGGACAGAGATAGGGCTTTCTTGTTGATTAAACCCGCCTCTACAGATATAGTAATAACACATAGATCAATTTACAAGAGCTGAAACAAAGGAAACCGGTGGATCATGCATCAAAAACCCTACATTCCATTACTCTGACGAATGAAGAATCCAGTGGGTTTCCGCGTTGAGGAAAACGACTAAGTCTCGACAGGAAAAAAGAGAAAGAGGAAAGATAATGGAGAAAAGATAAGAAGAGGGTTATCTGGTTCGCTACCGACGAATCTGTGTCGGGCAGACATGGTGGAAGGTCGTGAGCACCATTGGTGGTCGTTTTTCTTTTGTTGGCGATGGGATAAAGAGAGGTGTAGGATTTACATCTGGATTTTTGTTTTCTAGAGAGAGAGAGAGAGAGAGATTATATATTAAATAATTATATATAGTTTTTTCTTTTTTAAAAAAACTAACTGAAAAGATCATAAATGGTCCCTGTGGTGTGAAATGACGAAAATACCCTTCAGTTAACGGATAAAACTTAACGGAGTAGCAATAAGGACAAATCGTCAAAAGTATTGAAAGCACATGGACCATCTATGACGTTTCTAAACCATGGGTACTAAAGTTCAGATTTTGGGAAACCACAGGGACCATTTATGATGTTTTTTCCGTGAGAACCACAGTTATAAAATTATTTAAACTTTCATATTAAAAAATCAAAATTATTAATCAATTACTTTAAATAAATTATTATTTAAGAGATATTTTTTTAGTTATATAGAATTAATACAATTGATTTAAATAAATATGTGACGTTATACCACCTTATCATTTGTATTAATTTTATTTTATTTGTTAATCTAATGTTATTAATTTAATACAATTAAAGTGAAAAATTTAAATTTTAAAATTAAATTTTAATGTAATTAGGGTGGGAAATTTAAAATTTGAAATTGATAATTAATATGTTGGCAAGTGACACTATATGAGACATATAATATTAATGAGGACTTTTAATATAATGACACTTGTCAATAGGACAATAAATCTATTCATTTATTAGAATAAGATATATATATATATATATCTATATATATATATAGCTATATAATCTATATATAATCTATATATATATATATATATATATCTATATATATACTAGCCGAATGCCCGCGAGTTGCGCATAAACACCTATGTAGTTGAAGTTTTTACAAATATATGTTTTTTTAAATATAGCAATAACGTTGTTGTTAAATTTGATATAATAATTCGTATACTAAATTGATATAATATATTGATTATTTTGAATTATATAATAATATATACATCTATTATAACTGCATAATCTCAATCGTTTGAATGATTTCTACCCGCGAGTTACACATGAATCAAATTAAATATAATATATGATTTAATGTTATTTATAGTTGTTGTTATTGTTAATTAATTTTTAAAAATTTATTTGCTTAGTGTTTTAATTTATATCATTATAATTATTTAAAATATCAAACATTGTTTTTTGATTTTAAAGGTAACAATATAATCATTTATATAGAGTTATTTTTAACTATTTTTAATATAAATTAGTTTAAGCTACTTATTTGAAAATTTTTAAAGATTATAAAAATATATTTAGGGAAATATTTTAGTTAAATTGAGATTACAATTTAGTTTTTGCATTTATCACTACAGTTTATCACTTTTAAATATTTAAAAAATATTCTTTGATTTTTTAAGTGGAACTGAAATTCATATTTAAGTTGACATTGTAATGTTATATTTAAATTAACAATTTAAGTATTTTGTCCAAACTGTTCAAAAGTTGTAGCTTTAAACTGATAATAGTTTACATACAACAACCTATTAATCTAATATGTTAAAAGTTAAAGAATTACTTTATAAGTAGAAATAATATATTATTTTAAAATTAAAATTTAGTATATTTATGATTACACTTTAGGTTTGATATTTATTTAACCTTATTAACCAACTTATAATCATTATTAGAAAGACACTACAATTTATCACTTTTAACTATTTACAAAATATTATTTGGGTTGTTTAAGTTAAACTAAAATTTATATTTAAGTTTACCCTATAATGTTATATTCAAATTAATAATTTAAGTATTTTATACAAATTGTTCCAAAATTGTATCTTTAAAATGATAATGGTTTACATCCAACAATATATTAAAACTAATAAATTAAGTATAATATGTTAAAAGTTAAAAAAACATAACTTTATAAGTAGAAGTAAATATATTATTTTAATATTGAAATTTAGTTTATATATGATTACACTTTAGGTTTGATATTTTTTATCCTTATTAACCAACTTATAATTATTATTAGAAAGAAATTGAAAGTCATGGTAGTTTCAAATGAATGTGGTGAAAGAAAAAATGTTTCCTTTAAAATATATATATATATATATCTATATAATATATATATATATATATATATATATATATATATATATATATATATATATATATATATATATCATATATGAAGAACTAAATTGAAGGAGACCAACAAACTTTTTATCTATAGGAATATAGGTATCAAATCTCATATGCATGTAGATACATATATCTAAGACAATTGCAAAACAAAAATGCATGCATGTATTTATGGACATTTTTTTGAAAATGTATATTTGCACAAAAAATATGAATATGCATTAAAATGCATTTTTTTGAATTTTTTTTAAATCTTAATTTCGAAAGATAAGGTATATTTTCATTTATTTGGAACAAAATTATTTTATTTATTTATTTTTTACTTTTTTTATTTTAATTTTTTTTAAATCAGCAAATATGTTCCTTACATTTCGAAATTAGTAACTAAAAAAAATTAAAAAAAAAGGCATTTTAAAGCATATTCATAATTTGTTTTTGTGTGTATATACATATTTAAAAAAAAACATGTGCATATGCACATGCATATTTTAAAAAAAAAACTTATTTAATACTTCTATATGTATGCATAAGAGTAAGCATATACATATACATATGAATAAATATATGAATATGAACATGCATATGAATATGCATATGTATATGCATATACATATGCATATGCATATACATATGCATATGCATAAGAATAAATATATATGCATATGACAATTAAATACATATGATTATGTTTATGTATATGCATATGCATATACATATACATTAGAATAGGTATATGCATAAGAATAAATATATGCATAAGAACAAATATATGCATATAAATAAGTAGATGAATATGGATATGCATATGCATAAGAATAAGTATATGCATACACATATGAATAAGTATATCGATATGCATATAAATAAGTATTTGAATTTGAATAAAAATAAGTATATGCATATGCATATGCATATATGCACATACTTATTCATATATATATATATATATATATATATATATATATATATACATATTCATTTTCTAAATTAAAGCAAGTAACCCAAACATTTAGCTTCTCTGGCTCTTCTCTTATTTTAATTGTCCTCAAAGCCCTAAACAACACAATCAAGTAGCAACAGTGTAAATTTACATAATTTACATAATATTTGATATGAACTATGAAGAACGTTTATACCTTTCAGCCATTGATCGAGCCTTTTCAACTTCATTCAACGAGAGAAAAAATGTCATGTATTTTATCCAAATAAAGCTGCTATTTGGGGAGCATTCTTATCATCTTCTCATAATCATCAACTGTTCTTGGAACATCTTTCTGCAATAGTGTCTCCCCTGCAGCCCTAATTTCTCGTTCCCTGTTTACAAAAATTAAAAATTACGATATTGTCCTTCAGAAAGAGAAGGGAGAGATTATTAGCTTATGTGCATACCTTTCATTTGTTTCTTTCTTTTTGGTTCGCTTACTTTTGTTCTCATTCTTTTCCGATTTTTTGTTATCAAGAGGCTCTGGACCTTGAGCTTGTTCTTCCTCTATAGGTGACTCATCTGTTTCTTTATCTAATGTAACTTCAAGAAGAAGAACAGAAGCCCTGGATTCCACTTCAGTTAAAGTTGGATGTTTAGAGAATGGAATCAGTGATTCCGAGGTCTCATATGGGATACGATTGTCGGATTCGGAATCAGAATCTTCAGGTGCATCAGAATCATGAATTTGTTGTGTTTCAATAGCGAAATATGATCCCTTCATTCCCCACGAGATTCTTTGTCTCTCTTCATCAACCTGATCATGAATTTAAGACATAAATATGTAAAATTACAAGCCAAGGGTATATTTGACAATTCATTTGAAATCTAATATTTCTGTTTTTATATGTTGACCTTCAAAATCTTGGCCTTAACTTTTTCCCGAATTTTGTACTTTGACTCAATGTCTTCACTATAACCTTCAGGGAGCTCAGACACATGGCATAGTCCAACCTTTCCGAGCATATAAAGATCGTCGAAATCTAAGTTGGGACGCAGAAGTTATGGCCTTCGGAAGTTAGATTGGGAAAGAAGGCTTGGCATATACGTTGGACGTACAAGGTATGTACACTGGGTATACTTGGCTTAATTGATCGCAGTGTTTCTCCCTAGTACGATGGGCGTATGCGAGGCAACGTCAAACCAAAATTTTTGGGTCTTGGACCCTATTTAAAGACCTTAACTTATTGGAAACCCTTCTTATCTTTAGCCTCCATCCTCTAAAGCAGTTCCCTCGAAACCTAGCCCCATTTGTGAGATTCTTGAGCCCTTTGAGTGATGTGGAGTGTTCTTGGTGCATCTTGGAGAAGAAGGAGCTCACATGAGAAGTGTTAGTTGTCTTGGAGCTTGTAGATCCAGACCTTGTTCACCTTTGATCTTTCTTCTAGAGGTATGAAGCTTGAATCTTGATGGTTCTTTTATATAGATCTAGTTTTAGGATATGTTATGAGCGTGTTTTGGCCCCATGGCTTGGATCTTGTGAGTAGAAGTTACTCCAGAACATTTGGGCCTCATTTCTAGTCATTTTTGAGGTCATTAAGTCATCAAAATCGAATCTTGATGGTTGTGGTACAAAAATGCATGAGCTATTGGCCATTAAGTGTTAATAAGAAGCTAGGGTTTGGTTTTGGGTTTCATTAAGCCATGCCAAAGCTTAAAGTTGTTGACTTTACTAGTTAAGACCTTCCAAGACTTAGATCTCAGTATTGCATGTTGCATCTTAAAGTATTAAGTGCTTAAAATGAGTTTTGAGATCCCTGTGATTACCCCCTACGTAAATTGGAGTATGCAACGCGTACGACTTCCTGGTCCCGTTTTTCCTTTTCTGTGATTGCCGAGTACGCGGTGCGTTATTAGGTGGTACGCATGACGTACTCACTAGAGGGCCATTTGGGCCATTTTTGGGTCTTGGGTGCTATTGGGTTTAGGCCATGGTTAGATGGGTCAAGTACAGGAAGGGTAAAATAGTCTTTTACCCCTTAACATGATAGAATATGATTGGAACTTTGATTATGGGTTATTACCCTAACTATTGATTAGGGGTGATTTTTGGATATGTTCAGTGTGAGGAGCCCTATAGCAGCAACACTTGTGTGAATCGGTTATCTTCAGATTGAGGTGAGTCTCCTCATTCTAATTGTGGGTCGAAGGCACCAATGTCGGCCCACTGGGTTATGTTGTATGATAGTAGTGGTCCTTGTGACACTTTCTGATATGCATGTATGTGCTTGATGTCTTTCTGACTCTTACTGGTATGACTGTATGCTTAGTTGTAGGGGTGAAATAGACCCGTACCAGTTGAAAGATAACGAAGGAGTCGGAAGTGACTCAAAGAGTCAGAAGGGAGTCGCGATTCGGATGGGAGTCACGAGTTGGAAGGGAATCAAAGAGTCGGAAGAGAGTCACGAGTCGGAAGGGACTCAGAGGTGAAACATACCGTTACAACTTTAGACTTATATGTATGTATGATTTGCATGTTTGATGTGTATGTATGGTATATGGTATTTTGGGGAACTCACTAAGCTTCGTGCTTACAGTTTAAGTTTATGTTTTAGGTACCTTCGGTGCAAAAGGGAAGGGTGCGGCCTGATCGCAGCGCATCCACCTGAAACTTCGTACGAAGTAGTTACGCTTCTTCGAAGTTTCGCGATTAAAGTGACACAGCTATACATGTTGTAAAAAGTGAATTTTAGATAGGTTGCTTATTAGCCGAAGCAATCCAAATGAAATTCATAGTAATCGTAAAACCGAGAGCGTGCATCTAGAGAATGCCTAACTCTGACTTCATATGAGGAAGTTATGATTTTTCGAAGTTTCAACGCAGTTATGTTAGCACAGAAATTGAAATTTGAATCGGTCGATTTTTAGCCGAAATAATCTAAACGAGAGTTGAAGATCTCGTAAATAGGAGTCTGTCGATATAAACACAATCAAGAACAGATGTCGTATGCAAAAGATATGAATTTTAAACAAGGTTTAGCAGTCTAAGCTGTGACATCCCCAAATCCACGGTCATTTTAAAAATTTTATTTATGCTTATTTCAAAATCAGAGTATCCTTTTTAAAGAATAATATTGCGGAATTTGTTCCCAGAAAAACAGGATAAATATATCATCAACACATTTCCGAAGAAATGTATTTTGTTTATATTAAAACTTTGGGATGCCATCGTCAATACAGAAACATAAGCATAAACAGACCTTACATTCATTTACACTAGTGATCTACATCTCCTTTAATCTCTCAGTGTAATGTAGCTTCCTATCGACACCTGTGATACAAATAAACTGAATGGGTCAGGTTGAGAAAAACCTGGTGAGTACATAGGGATTTCAATCTCACAATGTAATCCCGAGCTCTTCCCCTTACTAGCGGAAGTACCTGAAACCAAAACTGAAAACTGTAAGCACGAAGCTTAGTGAGTCTCCCCAAACTACCACATACCATACACATATGACATAATCACATAACAGCATATCATGGGCCTATCCCACTACATCGGGCCCCGCCTGGCATCGAACCATAGTCTGACATTGGGCCTCGCCCGGCATCGGACCGAAATCCGGCATCGGGCCCCGCCCGGTGATAGGTGCATTTTATGCATCTATTTTGCATGCTTATTTCCGTCCTTTCATAACATTCTACTTCATAATTCTTGCATTTAGTTAATTATTTGGGCAACTGCATGTTTCATTGAGAATGTCTGGTACTTCACCATTTTTGATTTTATTTTGCAGACAATATGGACCGTGGAGCTTGGAGCTTGGAAGCATAGAACTTGGAGCATGGAGCTTTGGAGCATGAAGGGAAGATGAGCTGGTCATTCCATGGAGGAAAGCATGAAGACGAATCCGAGTCATTGTGCATTATTATCATAGCCAACGACTATGTTTGAAACGCGATTCTTGTCACACCGACACGGGTTGTGTATGTCCTTTGTTATCTTATATTTGAGCAACATGACTCGTGGTGAAGCTAGATTGAGGATGGAGCCAACAGTGAAGACTTTTTGGAATGTTAGCAAAAAAAAAGCATGGGCCATGCCAAAAACACATGGTCAAGACAAATGGCCATGCCAAAAACACATGGGCAAAAGGCATGACCATGCTAAAAATGCATGGCCTTATGACATGCACGTGAACATTAATTAAAAGAGGAGAAGACGTCATTTTGGAGGTAGAGACGGTTTCTGGAGGAACTTTGGGCGATCTTAGGCGATTTTGGGAGATTTCTTGGAGTTTTTGAGAAGACCTAATCATTGCAAACACTTTTGATTTCATTTTAGTAAGCATTAAACATTTCAATTCCATCTTTATTCTTGTTTGATTTGTTCTTAGCCATGTGTGGCTAAGCAACCCTACTTTCTAGTTCTTGTTCAAAACATGTTGATTGCTTGACTTGAAACATATGATTTGATGTTTGATTCGTGATTCTGTTCTAGTGATTATGTTTTTGTTTAAACTAGAACCCTTAAAATTTGAGTTGTGTTTTATTGGCCACTTTCATGAATTGAATTTTTGTGCAGTTAATTAACTTTTAGGGCACCTAGTCATTCTGTAAAGTTAATGATTGGTAACAAACAATAGGTTTTCTTATTGTAGAACATTTATCACATGTTTTCACACTTCCGAGCATATGAGAAGAAATAGACATTGTTGGGAAGCTTGTACAAAACTTAATGCAGTTTTTCAATACAATCTAAGAGCGTGTTTAGCTTGAATTACTAAAGCTAGGTCTAGTCAAAGAGCGTGTTTTGGCTAGATAATTTGGCAAGCGAGAGGTATTAGAGCGTGTTAATATCTTTCAGTACCAACTTAGAATAGCAATCACAAATTACATCAAGTCATAATCAGGTTAAATGACAACATTGAGAACTAGAACTGGAAGTACTTTTACAACTTGTTTACAAATCTATTTCATTTTCTGCATGTTTCAAAGTTCATTGTTATTTTCATTATTTGACTTTTGCAAACAAATCCCCATTTGTGACCAAAGTACCTTGTGCAAAGAGGTATAGACTTTTATCTCGTGTCTCTGTGGTTCGACCCTGCTTGCCTTGTACTACTTTTTAGTGCATTAAAGCAGTGTATTTGGAGTCTGTTGTACCCCTATTATTTGTTGGGTTTGACACCCCTAACAAATTGACGCCGTTGCCGGGGACACGGTGTTACTAATTGTTTATGCCTAGATCTTTTCGTACAGGTACACACACTGCCAATTGACTCGGAGATAGAGAAGACTGCAAAGAAGTTACGGAAGCAAACCAAGCTTCGTAAGAGGAAACCGGGTTCCGGTACTTCTTCATCATCTACCCCTCCGATCATTAACATTTGGGAGGATATACCCCTCTCAAGTGTGTCAGAAACTGAAACAGACATCCTCTCATTCTCACCTCAACCATCCTCATCTAGAAATACCACCCCACCCTCTTCACCTACTCATAACAGCCCAAACACTACACCCACAGAAGCTTCAACCACAAATCATACCAGGTGAGATAACCAGGGAGGAAATCCACCTCCAAATCCACCACCCGAGCAAACCCTTCGCCAATGGGCGAGGCAAGAGGTTAGTCAACAACCTCTTTGCATCACCTATCCGGCAGCCACAAACCTTGAACTAAAATCCGGTCTTATCCACCTCATCCCAACCTTTAGAGGCCTAGAAAATGAAGATCCCCACAAGTTCCTCAAAGAGTTCCATGTTGTGTGTGTTGGCATGAAACC